GGTCAACTAAGAAGTTTACTGAAAAGAAATGTCATGTTTAACTTTTACAGCAAGATATTTGGTGAGCGACGCCACGAAGACTGGTTTTCTCCAACAATCTTTCTGTCTGTTCTTAAACAATCTTAATCTCTATCCTTGACTTTCCATAACACCTTACATCACAAACCACACCTCTGTTTGGTCCATCGACCAATCAAAAAGCTCTCAAACGAACCGGAAGTAGAGCCCATTTTAAATGTGGCAACTTCCCAGTTCAAGAGAAGAGAGTTGAGGGGAGAAGAGTTCCAGAAGAGTTCTGGTAGAGAGTTCAGCTCAGTCTTGAAGCTGCTGTAAGCTCAGTCTTGAAGATGGAGCAGCAGTTCAAAACAAGCTAAGAGTTCAGGAGTTTTGGGATCCAGAATGCAGAGAGTTTGGGAGTTCATGAATGCAAAACGCAGGCATTCATGGATGCTGTTAAACCAACAAGCTGAACCAGAGACGATTTTGGGAATTATAACTTCTGTTTGGATAACCTCGCACGGCTCTCGAGGTATTTGGCTGTTCTCACTGAGACGCTGAACGTTGGTTGGAAGTGAGACTCCACGCCGGAACTGATCTATCTTCAGAAAAGGTAAAAGTCGACCTTCACCAAAAGTGTACTGTTTGGGACAAGCTGAGTTCCGAAGGAGCGTGCACGTTCTGGTTAAAACAGATAAATTCCCTCACACATCTCTCTGTAAGATAAATTTCAATTTTCCATCTTTAAACTCTCTTTTCTGCTAGAAAATTAATCCAGATGTTTTCATTAATGTCTGTGGTGAAGCAACGGAAAACCATGGCCGTATGGTTTCCTGGTTGTAAAAGCTGATTAATTATGTTGTTGTTTTCATATTCTGCCAAATTAATGTAAATGTGTGATGTGTTAAACTTGATTCTGTTAATAAATGACCCACTCGCTTGGTGAGTCAAAGATAATTAACGTCTCACGTCCACATTTCTGTTAAATTCAACGCACGACATCATCCAGTCCAGAAAGATGAGTGAACCCGTTTAATGTATGAATATATCTCAGGATATGTCATACTACAACTTCAAAGTGTAAACTCTGGGTGTACATTTACAACTGGTTACTTTTTGGAGTCACTCTGATTCAAGATGGCTGCCACAGCCAACCCACCCTAAAAACACAAACATGGCTTTAACTCAGTCAGTTTTACATTGAACTAAACCGTGGTGTGGTAGTAGCTGAGACTGATCCCCAGCATGCGTTCTGAATGATACTAGATAGCACAAAATTTTTATTTAAAACTTTGCCTGGAATTACTTGAATTAAAACTGTTTGTTAGCAAAATATCTCATGAACCGCTGGATGGATTTTAATTAAATTTTCAGGAACTAGTCTTTAGAGATACTTCATCAACTGATTAATATTTAATGTAAACCCAATACAAGATGGCTGACTTAGCCAGCTGATTTTATAAAACACAAAAACGGCTCAAATTCTGTCAGTTCTACTGATGTGCTGAAATTGTGTGTTGTAGTAGCCGAGAGTCATTCACGACAAATTGAAGGCATATCTTTGAATTATCTTCTTCTTTTTAATTTCAGATGGCATGTTTTAATCCAGCTGCCAACTCTTGGTCTCTGCTGAGCCCCCTCCCCTCCGGACACGGGGAGCCCGGCATGGCTGTGCTGGACGGTCGTATCTACGTCTTGGGAGGACGCTCGCATGACAAAGGCAGCAGGATGAAATACGTCCACGTGTACAACACGGACTCAGACGAGTGGGAGAAGGGGACAGAGTTAAGGGAGTGTGTGTCTGGCCTGGCGGCCTGCGTCGTACTCCTGCCTCCTGCTGTGATCGCTCAGAGCAGGAGCTGGGAGCAGCGCACCAAGGCCTCAGACATAGACCTCTCGGAGGACTCTAGTGAGGACTGAAGCAGACGTCTTCCCACTCAGCAGCTTCACTTTGGTGTTGATAGTGTAAGTGGCCGTGCACCGTGTCATTTTTTTTGAGTGCCTCTAAATTGTCGCCGCTCAGCACTTTTGCACACGTTACCTGGAAGATCCGTGGTACGCACACACCAACCAGGAGCTCGTCCAGCTGAGATGCTGCTTCACTTTGTTGCTCTGTGTATCTGTTGATGTGACGTGAATCACTGGACGCTTCTGATGTTTCTCAAGCATCGTATTCTTGAAAAGACTTCAGGGCTTTTTGTTACATGATGTTTTTTAACTGACTTTGGAGTTGAGAGTTTCTCAGGCAGCTGGTCTTCCTTGGTTTGCTCTGTTGGGATTATTGTTAATAAAGTTATCACATTCAAGCTTCTGAACAATCATCACACCAGAGTACTCACTGGTGCCTTGTTTTGTCCTTACTGTACATCCTCAGAGTGTCTGAATGTAATGCAGAATCCATTACTGACTGTTTTTGATGACCATCGTAGTTTCTAATACAGTAGTCCCTCGCTACTTCACCGTTCGTTTTTTGCAGACTTTCTCTAGCGCGGTTTTTCAAAATAAGATTGGACATGACACACAAATGGCTGATTGATAGATGAGCTGCATGATCGGCATGGAATTTTTATTTAAAATAATTATTTTAAATTATTTAGCACACGCTGCAGGAGAAGCTTCCTCCTACAGCGGAGAAATGGGCGTGGCCGAGAGTGCTGGCAGGTGGCAGAGAGCATCCAGAGGCAGAGCTGATTTCAGAACATGCAGTGCTCTTTTAGAGCATTTAGAGTTTAGAAACTAGAATATTGCAAGATTGTGGGAAGGGTTTAAAATGTCTTAATATATAAATTTATATATCTTTATATATATTAATACCATACCACTTTATTTATAAAGCACTTAAAACAGCGACAAGGCCAACCAAAGTGCTGTACAGACAGAAAAACAGGCAACACACAAAGCAAAATACGAAATGAGGTAAATCAGAATATAGACATAAAAACGATGCAGGTAATAAATATAACGATTAACCAGTGTGGAGCGTACAGGTTCAAAACACAGATCATCTTGTGTTGAAAGCTACTGAATAGTAGTGAGTTTTTAAACGGGACTTGAAAAC